CAAAACAAGTGTAGCCCATGCCCCCACACCCCCCACATGTCAGTCTAGAGGCCAAATCATGCAACTATTGTGGTGCCATGCTCATAAGTGAATCATATATCACATCATAATTGTATTGTATATTACATTATATTGCTATATTTATTCTTTCCGCATCTTCTCTGCAGTCGGCTCAGAATGTCAATATCTGGTACCTGGTACATCGCATGATGCATTCCTTGGACACCCACCCTGCCTGACTTCGTCCAGTAGGTCTTCATTGAGGGGCCTAGCTTGCGTCCCAAGCTCCTCAGTGTCGCCCACGCTCGTCGGACGCGACGGGGCCGAGGTTCAGAGGCACCACGCAGTCCACGGACCTGTTGGAATTACATGGCAGTGGGTCATGGCACCCTGGGCCCCTGGGCCAGACCGGTCATGGCTGAACAGATTCCTCTATGTTTGGGTCAACCGAAACCATGGTTTGGTGGAGCTTGACATCAGCCACAAAACTCCAGCACACATCGGCAGGACTGACGCGACGGACCAGCTGAGGAGGGCGGTTCCCGGCTCCGCGCCCGGCGAAATCGCGAGGGCCGCTTTTTATCGTCTGGAAAGCGCGTGGTGAACAGTTTGAGCCTGGAAAGGGGGGTTCAGATAATTCTGCCATGGAAAGATGGATGTTCTCTTCCCTGCCTCGGTTTTAAGCTCAGAGGTAGTACAAAAAATACCAAACAAAAAACTGTTTCTAACAGTAAACTCTCTGAGTGTAGATGATCCTTCACCATGTGGTGGGCAAGAGCAAAAATTCCATCAAAATTATGCTTTTGGCCACTGATTGTCCAAAGATGTCTTTCCCATGTCCTTCCCTATCTCCTCCAGAGAAAGTTACATTGGGCCAGTCTGCGTATCAGACTGGTGGCGGGGAGTAGCCAAAAGAATGGGTGAAACATCCAAGGATTAAAAAACAACAACATCAAAATTCGAAGGGCCCAGTTTGCCCGAATGACCAAAGTAGAGTTTCCATGAGGTTTTGATGAGGTCTTGATGAGGTTTTGCCGGGCTGCCGGACCTTGAGATGTGCAGGTCGAGTTGTAAGCGAAATGTGTTCCAACAATTACGAAATGTGTTCCAGCAAAATGAAACAATAAGCTAATAGCTTCTTGTTACTACTAGTAAGGCCAGGAGCCCCTAGTAGCTTCTTGCTCCTAGTAGCGTGGCACCTGTTACTACTAGCGATGCACTTGTTCGTAGGGGGACAAACCTGGTTGAACCATGTTTGACCGTCTTCTAATCCGCGGCCGACGCCCCCGACCGACGCGGGTCCGCCGGGGGTGGGACCGGACCGAAGCAGAGAACGGAGAACCGGGGGGGGGTGGGGGTTCCCGACGGCCAAAGGCTCGAGGTGGTCGCTTTGTGCAGGGGCTGCCAGGTGAAGATAATCTCATCTTCGGCCCCAGCATGCTTCACTTGCTCCTGCCGGCACTGGTCTTTCGCCGGCGAGGGATTGGAAGGCCCCCAACACACGGCTAAGGAAACCAACCGAAAGTTGGAGGAGCAGCACGAAAGACGTGCAAAACACGAAAAACGCTTCGCCGGCTGACAAAGTGGTTGACGTGTCGAAGGCGGCTGTCCATTGGACAGCGACCATCCAGACGTCGACCCGAGGAGACCTCGCACCACAAAAGAGGCGACCCGGTCGCAATCTGGAAACCCACACCCGAAGACAGCCACAACCAGAGACCCCCCACCTCAACCCGGCAGATGGTTGTAAGGTTGTGTAGTCACAAAAGAGTTTAAATCTACCCTCTGTCTTTGAGATCATTCAGACCTGTCAATCTTCCTCTCTCTTCCAACTATGTACGTGGACCACTGATGACCACTCTAGACTCTAGAACTACTACTGACCACAAACAACTAACTGGCCCATCCAACTGACAGGCCCTACCGAATGTGTCTCCAACTCTGGACACCGAGCCCGGTCCCTGGGAGCTAACTCTCTCCCAGCATTTACCCCGTTCCAACTGAAGAGCAAGACAGGACCAGGTACACAGACCTTAAGCCAAAAGGTAACAAGAACAATCTGTACACATACGCATCTTTGGAAGACGTCTATGACGAGTCTATGAGTCACTAGACCAAACTGGACCATCTGCCCCGCCCCGTTTCTCGGCATCTCCTCCGTCACCAGGAAGTGCGCCAAGCGCCCCCCGGCCGCCAAGCGCCGCCGTGCCAGGCGCTCGTCCGCGGCGCCGCCGTCGCCGACGAGGATGAGGCAATGATCCTAGTAACAAGAAGCTACTAGGAACAAGTGCCTTACTAGTAGTAACAGGTGCCTTACTAGTAGTAACAAGAAGCTACTAGAGAGCATTTGCTAGAGACCGACGACGCCACCGACGGCGCCGTGCGGAGCTGAGATCCGCAGGAATTCGGAGACGAGGTGCCCCAAATGGCGGAACTCGACCTAGACATGTCTTCGTTTGGGTGTGCAATAAAACTCTTTGGAGCCAATCATGTTTCGTTGCTTGGCTTAATCTCTCAAACTAATCTAGAACAGGGGGTCATTTTGAATGATGGATCTAGACAAAGGTAAGGCTGCTGCTGTACCAAGACCGGGCATATAATCATCTGTTGGGTGGAGAGGATTACCTTCGGTTGCTCTCCACGCGGCTGACCCACCACAAATACTCCATGAATGTATATACTGTAAGCCTTGCCGGGTGTATTTATATGTGGGGGTTGGTGCCTGCTTGTTGTTGGTTGAACCACTCATGGTTTTGATGAACCGGTACCACAGTGACTTGAAACCAAGATCCCACAGTGTTCCAGGAACACCCGATTTTTAATCGCCTTTTGGAGCAGAAGCAGGTGAAAGCTTATGGCTGTGGTTTTTGACCCTGTAGCACTGTAGTCACACAAAAAACAACGTTTCCTGAGTGTGAGTGGTCATGCCTGCACAGCTCTTCGAACTCACAGCCCGAATCGGGCCAACCAAACATTCTCTCGTTTTGGGGTCTCGATTCAGCCGGAGCCACCCAAAAGAAGCAATCCTGCTAAAAGGGAAGCAAATTGTTTGGATTCCACCCCTACCTGGCATTCATTGTTTGAAACCTTAGGGGCAGCAGCCCCGGCTGCCCTCACGTTTGGTCCATTCATCATTCATCCGCCAGGCTGACCCAACAAAACCTGCGTCCTTGTAGTTGAGCTCCAGCTCGCCGAAGGGATCCGACATGCCAAAGGCTGGAAGCTCGGTTCTCAACTTGCTGCGGTCGTGTTTCTACGGGGATTGACCAGTCAAAACCGCCGCTTGAGGTTCGGGATGGAGGACATCCAAACCTTCGGCTCGACCGGTGGGATCTCCTTTTCTTTTGCTCCGCCGTCCCTTCCGTCATACCCAGAAACGCCCACCGTCTGATCGTCGGCCCTGCTTCGCAAAACCGCAGAACATGCACCCCACACGACCCTCCCGGGCCGATGGAGCACTGGAGCCAAAGAAAGAGCCGGTCGCCGGTCGGCTGGGAACCGTGGGAGGGAGGTTTGGCGTGGTGGTCAACAATCACCTCCCAGAGCTGGGTAGAAGTGAATGAAAAAGGGGAATTCACCCATCTTCAATCTATCTAGCTGAGAATTGGTGGCACAACTCAGCCCAGGCGTATGGAAACTTAGACCCAGTTACCAGCGGATGTACACCCTTCAATTCACTTGAAGGGCTCACCACTCTCCCTGATTCTCTGACGGAAACAGGACGTCAACAGACTGAGGTTGTCTCACAGACGTACCAGGTGCCTCTTTGCACCCCAAAGAGATACCTGTTGGAGGCCCCGAAATCCCAAGCTCCACTCACTTGACTGCTGGCCATGCTGGGTCGGTCGCAGAGAAAGAATGTGCCGCACCACTCTGGTGGAAAGTATCTATGAACCCCCATTTCAAAAAAAGAATAAAGTTGGGGGGAAGGTCAAATAATGGCACATGTCTTTGTATTTTAGTAGTGAGACCCCTCCATTGATGAGCTCTAGTCCAGGTCCAGTTTTGCTGTTGGAGATGTGGGATCTCCCTGCTTCGATGACCCGAATGATCCCAAATGGAAGTATTGCAAAGTCCATCCTCCAGCTCACTGACATCGGGAGAATGGCTCCCTCCTCGCCAACTGAAAAGCACCATGACAGGTCATCTCGGATCAAAACAGAGAGAATTGGATCCACCATGCAGGAGTTGCAAGGAAGGTTGCTCACAAGCAACCCACACCAGGGCGGTGGTGAACATACCTCAGAAGACCCGGAAGCTCTCTTTGTTCGCTCGTTGCCACTGTTGCCACATCAAGCATGACGGTCTACAACGTCTACCCTCCCCGGTCGGCCAATCTTCCTGTGTCCCTCCACACCTCTTCCACACGCTCGCCCGGATGTCTGAACAAACAGCTGGTGCCTCGATTCTTCGGACGCGTGGAGGCGACGCGGCTCGCCACCGATGAACGGTGCAGGGTGCACGGAGCCACAGCCACCCAGTGGTCCGGCCCGTGGTCTTCCAAGACAGGTCCGGCACAGCCGAGAGAGAAAGGTCCCGGGGGCTGCAACCGAGTTCACCCCGCGCGGCGAGATGTTCGGAATCACGCCAACCGGATTTCGACCCTGAATATCCCCATGCACAGCGAAATTGAGCAAGACCTATGACTTATAGGTCTTGCTCAGATGCGAACCTGTATCGTTCACATCCCACCCAGATTGCCCCACCACCCAGTTGTCCTTGTAACAACTTGGATTGGATCCCGACAAAGCAAAACAAAAGGTACCAGGTACCTGTTGATGAGAGATGTTCCTGAATGCTTAGGGCATCTCTGTGCAAATCAAAACTCCGTCAGAAACCAGGGCTCCTTTTTCCTGTGCAGAAACTCCACCGGGTTCACGATGTGGCTGATCAACTCCATGCCAAATGCTTGGTCGTCTGCAGTGGCTGATCAACTCTGTAAGCTCGTCTGAAGGCTTCCCATGGGTTCCCCAGAAAATGTGCTTTGACACTGGATGCAAATGGTCCAGTCCACGTCCCTGATAACGTCGCTCCAGTCCCTGCAAAGAAGAACCACTTCTGCATACCTCTGCCACCTGTGCGACTGTCCTGCCATCATTGCCACCCTCTCCCCGTTCCCACTGGGGACAACAAACGAGTACAGCTGGCGCCCTGGTTGCACTCTTGCAACTTGAACTTGGCCCGAACGCGCCTCAGTGGCGAATGCTCTGAGATCTAGCAGGGGTCGTAACTGGATGCTTGTCTTCCGGTTGAACGAGCCCATGAAACCATCTGGTTAGACTTCACAACAATACTAACTAGTGATGGAAGAAATCCGCAAAACTGCCTGGCGTGCAGGAAGCTTCAGATTCACTCATGGAAAATAAACGAACTGTAAGGTGGCTGGCCGGGAATTCTTCCCTTGAGATGGTATGGCGACCCATTGCGGCTTGCCACTCCAGGGTCTTAGAGAGGGAACCATTTCTCAATCTGTGTAGGAAACTGCAGCCTGGTCTTCCAGAGGCTGCGGTCCTTTTTCGCATCGGGGCTGTGGTCAAAATTAGGGAACAAGTCAAGTCCTTTGTGCTGGTCTCAATCGAGTTTATGCTGGTATTTGACTAAGTACAAATACTGGTCAATTTCTGATGGTTGCTCATTGAAAAGGCAACAAGGACCACACTTCCAGGTCTTGAGTTTATTCCCTGAAGCCAAGCGAGGTTCCAGGGGAAGTCTCGATCCATTATATATATATATATGTTTTATGAAAACCATCGAGCTTCTGTGATATCCACTCATCAGAGGAGGTTTCACGTACCTAGCTTATCAAAGCAAAAGAGCAAAAATCTCGATCACCCCAACGAAGTACTTCAACTTTGGGACAATCCCATTGCCACAATCTCATACTTAGTGATTGAAGACCATGATATACCCTCCCCAAAACGTAGCGTAGCTACCCAAGGACGGGAAGACTTGTCTCCTCTAATGCAGGGGAAACTATCGTATCGTATTGTACTGTAGTGTGGCAGAGTACGGACTGCTGGAATTGTGTCGAGCAAGTGAAACAGTGAAACCTCATGTCGAGCTGGATTGATCGATTCAACAGGTTCGGACACTGGTTCTGTCAGGCGTTTTGCTGTTCCGGAATTCACTGTCCTACATGAGTACCTACAGTGTATATTGGGTATCTATTTTGCGGTGACCAAAAGTGAGCATCTACCAGATATACATACGCTCACCCCCAAACCATGGACGAAGACCACGTGGTGCTCCGGAAGGACCCCCGGCATCTCCTCCTCGGGGTCCATGATGTGCGCCTCTTTCACGCCGCACGGCAAAAGAATAGGCACTGCTCAGGTTGCAAAAACGCTTTTGGTCCAAAGTGTTCCTTGCGTGGCTCTGTGCTCTGCCGGACTGTGGGACCGTTGGACAGTGGTCTCTGTGAGACATCTGACCTTGGAATTCGATTCAATCCTTTTGAGGAAGGTATTGGTATCCTACAAAGAGTTGCCCAGCTCAAGGACCAGCATGGTCGACTCAAGGACCAGCATGTGGTTGTCAGCATGAATTGCATGGTCAAAAAAACACCAAGGCACATGAGGCAGAGCAGGGGCCATAACCTTGGGGATGGAGGACTTGAGGACTTCGTCCCTAGCAGGGCGCCCTGCATAGAAAGGAAATACTTCCATATCCTTTCGATAGTGGAAACACATGATTTGGGGGGCTCAGGGGTATCCAAGACTGATCACTAATTATACCGGCCCATTTGATCTAAGAATCTAAATGTTGATAATCTTAAAACCTCAATCTTGACATCAAACCCGTGCCAACTGATCGAATCGCGTGCTCAACACAACCTCACCGGCCTCCGGGCAATTGCTGCCGCGGTCACAGCGCGCCCAGCCTCAGCGTCGAGGCCCCCTGCTTGGGGTCTCATCGACCAATGAGGTCGGCAAGAAGGAGACCCTCTCACAAGTTCCATAGGAGTCTCAGTGCTCATGTGCCCAGAACATCCACTGGATGGGACTAAAATGGACTAAAGACTAAAGACCTTTGGGATTGCTTGGAAGATACAACCTGTGTGTCTTTTCTCCTTAAGCGTCCAACCTGTGAGGCGTCGTTTTTTCAGTACATCACGCGCCAGAATACTTGAGCCAAGCCTAAGAAACGGTCCCTTCTCCGTAAGCTGCTCCACCCGTTGGTCTTGTCATACCAGCTGTTCCATGCCTTCAAAGACCATCTGTGTTCCTTCTCTTTTAATGCCTACTGAACAGCTTAGCAGGCTTAGCCTTGGCTGTAGCTCGTCCAAGCAGGACACCATCCGTTCTAGTGTCACTGCAATGACCTTTTCCTTTGATGAAGCAGATCATCATGGCTGTGGGTAAAGGCTCCCTCAATCTCTGCTGAGCAGCACTATCGAAGGGTCTCGGGTGCCAAGCTTTTGGGGGAGCAGTCCCATCTATTTCACTAAGAAGTTTTAACGGCGTTTGGCGTTCAGCTGGGCGCCCGGGCAGAGATACTGCACGCAAACACGGCTCTGCGTTGGATTGGAATTGGCTGGCAAGGGAATCCTCAGATTCGCTCGGACAGCGACGCGAGAACCTGGAAGGCTTGAGCTCCTTTGGTGAAGGTCCCGAGTAAACCGCAGCCTGCCTGGCTTGAACAATCTGGAAACTGCTGCTGCCAGAAAGGAGAGTCTGCAAGATGATTTTGGTGAATATTTCTATTTGGGTCGTTGATTTGTTGGTGAAGGCTTTTCGGTCCGGAGTGGCGCTCGAAGCGGAGAATCACCATGTGTCTTTGGATTTTTACTGCGTGATTGTCGAATAAAAACACGTTCCTTTGTGTACCAGATCTGTATCTCATATTAGGTAACAACAAGGTGTTCAAGAGTCCTTTTCTTATCCTTCTCTAATCCTATCATGAGTGTGTCTGTGGGGGATCTGTGTTACTTGTGAGAGTCCCAGAAAAGAAAACAATCACTCAATCACACACAAATGGGTTGGCCTTGGAATGGAGGCCATCGCCTGTTGTTTGATTCTGAAGTCACCTAGTTTTAGGTTGGAGGCCATTGCTATTAAAGGCTTGGAAGGGGCACCTCTCCCAGCGTGTCTCACACCAGGACAGTTGGTGGGAAATGCCACCAGTGGTCACTGGGGTCACCCCAGCAACAAATCCCATATCCCAGTGCGGTTTTAGGAAAGACCACATATGACCGATATTCATGAGAGATATGAAAATGAGACCCTTCAGAAATGAAAAATGATTGAAGAAAACTGGTGGCATGCATGCATCCCTTGACTTTCACCATGGTTAATTCCTGTGCATTTGCTTGTACATGCTGCAGAACATCTTTGATGGTCTATCTCCAGCTCTTGAGACCTGACCCAGTGAAGGAGCGTTGATCCACCAACACCCGTTTGCCGTTTGCCATTTTGCTGGCAAAAAGGGAGGCTTCACCCAGTTGGAGGTCAGTGGCAAGGAAAGTACTATCCACCAGAAAGTGGTCCCCAATCAGATAGTGGCACGGTGTCCAATACATGTTCAGTGGGGAGTTACTTTCCTATCCATTTGGGGGCCTGTAGAGGTGCTTTCGAAAATGAAATCAACCTCTCTTGAGCCCGCCAAAGGTGGGTGAAGAAACTTGCCCCGCCTCTCCCGGTCCCGCTGAGCATCCCGGACGGCGCGTTGATGGAGGGCCGCAGGCCCAAGGCTGGCGCCGTCGGTGGCCTCGGGTCGGGTAGTGGGTGACACGTGCTTGCGAGCCACCATGGAGATCTTGAGCTGACCCACTGACATGGAAGTGGAGCTCACCCCCTGTGTCTAGAGGAAAGAAAGTGGTCTTCCAAGTTCCCAGGGACCATTTTACAAAGTGCATCGTATATAGCTACTCATAACCTCGCCAAATAAAGCGAACCTGCAGGCGCGGCAAACGAACAAGCAAGCACAAACAAACAAGCAAGCAAGAACCTAAGAAGCAACGGATCAAGGAGGAGGCGAGCCTCCATGAGAACCTCAAAAACAGCGATGCAAGCCAACGCCTTAGACATTAGGCAACTGATCCCTCTGATATAGAAGGAAACCCTGCCAAACGCATCTTATCTTCCCCAGAAAAAGGTTCCTCAAATCCTCAGCACTTCACTGTCATGCGTGTCACATGTCAAAAAGAGCGACAGCCGCGTGGCGACCTACCTGGTTGCGAACTGCGGCCCTGATCCTCGAAGGTCACATCGTCGCATGTGCGTCTCCCTAAACCGAAGCATCTCACTTACATCTCGACCACTTGCTGGGGCGAACCAGTGAATACCTACAGAGAGATCTTCACGAATTCGGTGTCAAATTGAGTTTCAGTTGCCAGGGCCTGATCAACAGCCAACCAAAGGAACAAGGAGCAAAATCAATAGCTGTATCTCCAAATGACTGAATCATATCAATATCCTATCAGTCTTCGACCTCAATCAAAGCAGAACTTCTAAAGAAAAGCATTTCAGCCCTCGTAGGGGTAGCAATCCCTCATAGGGCAAGCTGGCTGGGTGTTTGAGGGCGCAAGCCCACCTGCAATCTCCTGGCTGCCCGAATGGTTGATGGAAAAAACAACTCGAAGTTCCTGAGCTCCAACCAAACGCCCTGTTGGCCAATGGTGCCCCCGACCCCGAACGGGTCTCACAAGGGTGGCCAATGCCCCGACCCGTCCAAGGCACACGAAGCTTGACTGCTTGGGCAGCACATCGAAGCCCAGCGCGGCGGCAGCCGCCACACCCGCCTGGAGGGTGAAGTGAAGGAAGGAAGGAAGGAAGGAAGGAACGAACGAACGAACGAACGAAGGAAGGAAGGAAGGAAGGAAGCGAAAACAGGTTCTGCAAAGCCATGTAAAGCAACTAGTCATAACTAGTCCCATCCAGTGAGTGTGGGCAACCATCCTCCTGCGTTCGTTTGGCACCTCTGGTCGTGTTTTGGGGTTGCTCTTCATGCAAATGCAATCTGCATCCTGGTGGATGCAGAATACGGTAGAAGAACCACTGACCCCAACTGACCCCTGCTGGCCCGACTGGCCCTTTCAACTCCAAAAGGCAGGCGCGTGAGAGGAATCAACAGCTTAACAGCTCACGCCCCACTGCTTGGTACAAATCCACGCCCAAAAGAACAACATAGACCTTCCAAGACAGACCCCAGGGTTTGAGTATTCCTTTAAAAATGGAGAAGATGGAGAACCAGCAGTTGATACACATCAAACGATCTTTGGTGCTAGCCCCATCCACCTAAACGACCAAACCCATCGCCGTGAGACATCCCGGACATGCTAAGAAGCTACATGCTCTCGATGCTCTGTGTTCTTACAGCAACATAAGTTGTATAAAGTGCTTCTCCAGGCCATACCTCCTTAAGTCTCCCTGCATGCACATGTTTCAGAGCGTTCGATCTTCAATGAATCCATTGAAGAATAGCTCAAAGGAGCGATCAATCCCCCAACCAGAACGGAGATCGCTCGCGCCTCAGGACCCTCCCTACCCCGCTATCGCCGTGAAAAGCCGGTTGGGCCAAGTGCCCGCACCTGGGCCGTGTTCTTTGGCTTTGCCTCAGGAAGTGTCGACAGGACGGTCCAAGCTGAAGGGACGCCAAGGTATTTGGGCGTGCAGTGACATAGGAAACATCGAAAACATAGGAAAGACATGGAAAGACGGAAAATAGACCAGTCTGTCTCCCCTGTTTACAAACACACACGATTTTGGTTGTTTCAGCAAAAACAAAGGACCTCGGGCGGAGGTCGTGGCTTTTGGGGGATCGTGGCTTTGGGGGGTCACTTTGAGTTCGCTGAAGAATGGTTCTGTCTCAAAAATCGGGAGACTTTGCGGCTTCGCATGCAGTATTCTTGTCTCAAATATGGAGTTGATAGCAGTCCTAAAAATCCTAAATTGAATATTCGGTACATGTTTGCAAGGGATCACTGGTCCTGGTTGGTGGCCAGCATGGTGATTATATATGTGGATTTACTTCCAGCAATCCAATTGCTGGAGCAGAGGAACCGGCAACCCACCACCTGTTTGTGTGCATAAGAGAAAAGCCTACAAACTCTTGCTGTAGTACTTCAACTGCGCACCAGTGTTCCGGAAACGAGCTTTTCCAGAGCCCCATGTTGCCACCCAGGCCCAGACCTTGCTCAAAAAAGCTCACCTCATGGATTGTCTGAAGGTCCATAGGCCCCGCCCACAGCTCGAAAGATTGATTAGTGGGAGCACCGCCCATAGCCGTCTGGGACCTGGAGACCATCGTCCCCAACAACAGCCCCTCACTTCCCGCCTGGACGGACCTCGTTCGCCAGACGCGTTCCGGGCACGCCCAGTGGTTGGCGGTGTCAGGTGGAGTCTGAAAAGGGGAAGATGGAGTCTTCAAATCCTGTAGAAGCTTTTCAGAATCCGCTTCAAACGCTTTTCATCTGGGTTCTGTCCCTTCTGGCCACACACTTGCCACTCTTGTCAATAAAATTGGTCACTCTTCCGAGGTGTCCCCATGCTCCCATACCCCATAATAGGCCCTAGGGTCTTTCTGAGGTGTTTTTCGAGGGCCCCCATGCAACTCGGAAGGACGACGTCTCAATGTTCATGTTTGTCTCAGTCTGTCTCGTTCCGTTTGGCTGGATACTCAATGGTCATTAAATTTCGTGGTGGTTGGACCCCAGAGGTCCAGCAAAGACGCTACTAGGGGCTCCTGGCATCGCTACTGGGAGCAAGGATGCTACTAGGGACTCCTGGCCTTACTACTAGTAACAAGAAGCTATTAGAAACTATAATTCAATAGAATTAGAATTAAAACCAATCTAAGTGTCATTAGAATTTAATTAGAAGATCGTTTGGGGTTGGACTGTTATGGATTGTGTCTGGATTGTTCCAAAGGTGTTGCCGGCTGGTGGTGTGTGCTTGGTGGTTTGATCCAGTAGCCTACACACAAAAGTGACTGAGGCCCAAGCATGTCCGTAGGCACCTTTTCTTTGCCTTCTTTCTCCTTTGTTTCTTTCTCGCTCAGCTCCTTCTCCTTCAGTTCCTTCTCCTTTGCCTCCTTCTCCTTCGCCTCCTTCTCTTTGAGTTCCTTTTCCTTCACCTCCTTCTCCTTTGCTTCTGCCTCTTTCAGGTCCTTCTCCTTAGCCTCACTCTCCTTTGCCTCTTTCTCCTTCGCTTCCTTCTCCTTTCTCGCCCTCCGCCGTCGGTCCTTGTCTTGTCTCGAACGCTCTCGGACCACACAATTACAAGAGCTACGTTACATGCTTTATATATACGGCATTAAAACAACATGGAATCAAACACAGATCCATACCCGCAAACATTCTTCCCGAGGCCCGTGTCCTTGGCTTCCTCGTCTTTGCCATCTTCAATTTCGACCTCAGATCATCTCAGCCGAACTCCCAGCAACTCGCCGTGGTGAAGCGTGCAGTGGTGAAGCGTGCAGTGGGTGACTCTGGGGGACCGGGTTCAAACATGAAGAGCAACCAGTTGACCCAGTTGACCAGTGAAGGGGATGTGTACAAAGAAATGGGTCCCAAAATGTGTTTAAAGTTTGGTTGGTTGCTTGTGTTAAGCAACCTGTATTATCGTTCTTTTAAACGTGGCTTGGCCAAAAGAATGTGTTTTTGGATACGCCAAGCCATGCATCCATCAGCCGAAGAATGGATCCATCCCTCCGTTCCCGACTGATCAAGAACCAATAAGGACGTGAACAAAAACATTGCGCACCTGTACTCGTCACAAGGGGTCTTGTGGCAGGAGCTATGGCTATCAGGGATTGTGAGACCTTCTTGCTTGAGGCAGTAAGAGGAGGTGTCATATATATATAGAGAGAGAGAGGGGGAGAGTGAGAAGAGCGAAAAACAAATGAAACGTCGTCCATGGATCAAGTTCTGCTCTAGTTCACCCGAAACTCGGCTCGTTTCAGCCTGGCCAGGTGGCCACCCCTCGGTCCCCCGCCACCTGGATCTCCACCGCCCGTCTCCGTTTGGGCGCAGCTTCCGCGGTGCCTGGGGAGGTGAGCGAAGCACCGTGTTTAAGACAACGGAAGGACACTGGATGGACTGAACATGCCAGAACCTGCGTGATTGTAACCACATCCCTTAGTCTTTAGGTCTAAAATACATCATCGTGTCTCAGACCCAAAATAGCATGTTGCATCAAAATTTTAACAAACCTTACTTATGGCAGTCGCTCGGTCCTCCGTAATCCCCGACCAGATCCCGAATGCAAAATAGCTACAGGACCAGACCCTTAGCGCCGGCGCCACTCAAGAAAAATGATGTCCTCTAGGCGTGCCGGCGCCACAAACCACCCTTCTCAAGACTGACAAATCTGGTCTCAAACAAGCTCAACCGTGACATGCGCCACCGAGAACCTGTCACCCGCCAGACTCGACCCGCCTGCGCGCACCGCCACGGCAGCCTCCGCCACTTTGGGCGGGGCTTCACACGCCACGACCTGGCTCAGGGTGCACCGACAGGTTCAGCGCTCCAAAAAAGAAAAGGTCGGCGCTCTAAAAAGGGACAGGCCGACCAGGGGTCTCCAAGCAATCCAAATCAGAAGATTGGCACAAAATCTGCGGATGTTCTGAAATCACTACCTTTGAGGTCTAAGGCCTTTTGCATAGCTTGTTTTCACATGGACACGCTGCATGGAATGGCCAAAAGGACAGGTGGACGGGCCCTTCGAGTTTGGACCATTTCTGGATCACCTCTGGCCTCGTCGTCGTCGAGATCCAAATCCTGGCGGCTTATGAGCATCTTCGACTGCGTGGGGTGTGTATGAGCTGACGTTTCACGGCATGATTCTGTGAAAAAAGAAACATAGTTATGGCGTGCTTCGGCGAAAAAAGGCTTTGTCCCTGATTCCGCGCTGCGCAAATCCAAGGCCATCCACCATGGGCCATGTGATTCTCCAATCTGGACAAGAAACTCCTCAGAAATGGCGCCACCCATGGACCGGATCCTGTCACATCCGAAGGGCCGCGGCCCACACGAAACCAGCGCCCCACGGGGATCGCGGCCGGCCCACGGCCGCCACCTCGACGGTGCCCGCAGGCACTTTGGCTGCAGGCAAGGCCTGACAAGGCAGCACCAAGGGCAAAGCAGCGACATCCCGAAGAGAGAACGCTGGGATCCTGGTTCCAGTGGTGCCTGAACAAGTAGCAAATTTGTCCCATTGGCCTCCTATCACCCAGTCGGAACTGGGAGGTAAATATAAGAATACAAACGAATACACAGGCACATACAACAAGGAACAAGGATCTGCTGGAAGGATAGTGTATGGCTTCGATTTCGAGATGGTATATAGACCGCTACAGCTGGATCAATGTTCTGGGAAAAGACGGTCGGAAGCACGGGACCTCGGAGAACAACGCCCAGTTGGCACGGCCTCCTCATGGAATCCCCGGCTTGAATGCGATGGAATCCCCACTGAGAGCCATTGCAAAAGAGACCCAATGCCGTAGCCATTGTAGCGACAATTTTCAGGAGTAATAAATCAGAGTAGTTGGCGCCAATCCCCAGGAATGGATTGGATTTTGGAAGTAGAACCTTCATCCAAAGTAGTTATAAACTTACTTTTACCATCTTCTCAAGTCACCTACCGCGGTGCATCCTGTGCCTTGGGTGGTGCAGGGCGCGATGAAGGTGGGAGCAAAGCCTTCATGGCTGCCTGAAAATGCGGAGCGTTGCTGAGCTGCCGGTGATGATGCAGAGACCTTCAAAACATGAATCTATATATATATATAAATTACATTGATGGCCTCCATCCTAATAGCGATGGCCTCCACTTAACAGCGATGGCCTCCTATGGGTTCCCCAGGGCGATAGCTGTTGGGATGTACAGGCTCCACGAGATTTCCAACAGTTCCCTCAGACTCTTTCAGGTCCAGGAAGAAAAAACAGACATTAAATAGGTGCATGAATCTCGACCGAACTGGGCAGAGGAACTCTTCCCCAAAGATTCATGTGCTTTGCAATCACAAACCTCCGCTATCAACCAGAAGTCCTCCACCTCATTCTGACACCTGGATGCAGTGGATCCAAAGTAACGCCACCTACATCCAGCCATCCTCTTAAAACATGTTCAGCCAGCCAGACATCGCACGAAACCCTCAGCCTCGGGGTTCGACACCTGCGCCGGTGCCTGAGGCGTGCCAGACATCGCATTGGACGCAGCAACTGCCACTGAGCTCACTTGGTCAAACAAGGAGCAAGTGCTCCTGAAATCTAGATACAAATGTATGCACATACAAATTTACAATGGACGTACACGGCTTCCAACATGTCGTAGTAGGGATCCTTTTTCGCTCTATTTGGGCGGGCAAAAAATATATGCGGTCAAAATGTTGGAGGGATGAACATCTACACCCCCACCCAAACAGCTCAGTCAAGAAGAGAGCTCTTTCTGCATTCTTAGAAGATGGGCTCAGTTCAGAAGATGAGTGCCTTCCCTTTATCTTGGCCGGACAATCCTCTCTAGGAGTGCCCAGTCAGCTAGCAGCGCCTCCGGAGGGAACCCTCGTACCAACTCGAAAGCTAACCCCGCCCCGGCCATCCGAATGTCCCGTTCAAGCACCTCCGCTGGGAGCATCATGGTGAGGCTAGGGCTCCTCGAACCTCGCTGAGGCCGCTCGATCTTTCGGCCGAGTTCGATCAAATCTCCAGCATGCTTTTGCACTTCCAGGCGCCAGAATGGGGTTGATTCACCAACAGTCTATATAATTACATCAGTTCCAAGTCATTTGTCTGCTTTTACACCTCCAGGC